CTTCGCTGCTAGCGGCCAAAAATCGGACGAATTTTCCCGTTAGAGAGCAAAATTCGCGAGATTTTGGCCGCTTGGGTCAAAAATCTCCCGATTTTCGGGCTGCTAGCAGCGAAAATCGGGCGAATTTTGACCGCTAGCGGCGAAAATCGCGCGATTTTCAACCGCTAGCAGCGAAATACGCCCGATTTTTGCCCTCTAGCGGCGTAATTCGCCCGATTTTTGCCCGCTACCTGCGAAAATCGCGCGATTTTCGCTGCTAGCGGCCAAAAACCACGCGATTTTCGCTGCTAGCGGCCAAAAACCGCGCGATTTTCGCTGCTAGCGGCCAAAAACCACGCGATTTTCGCTGCTAGCGGCCAAAAACCGCGCGATTTTCGCTGCTAGCGGCAAAAAACCGTGCGATTTTCGCCGCTAGCGGCCAAAAATCGCGCGATTTTCGCCGGTAGCGGGCAAAAATCGGGCGATTTTCGCCGCTGGAGGGCAAAAATCGGGCGATTTTCGCTGCTAGCGGCCAAAAACAGCGCGATTTTCGCAAGTAAAGGCCAAAAATTGCGCGATTTTCGCCGCTACCGGCCAAAAATCGTGCAAATTTCGCCGCTACCGGCCAAAAATCGTGCGATTTTCGCCGCTAGCGGCCAAAAATCATGCCCTCCAGCGGCGAAATTTGCTCGATTTTTGCCCGCTACCGGCGAAAATCGCACGATTTTCGCTGCTAGCGGCCAAAAATCGCGCGATTTTTGCCGGTAGCGGGCAAAAATCGGGCGAATTTTGCCGCTGGAGGGACAAAACCGGGCGTATTTCGCTGCTAGCGGCCAAAAGACGGGCGATTTTCGCCGCTAGCGGCCAATAATCGCGCGATTTTCGCCGGTAGCGGGCAAAAATCGGGCGAATTTCGCCGCTGGAGGTAAAAAATCGGCCGATTTTCGCCGCTAACAGCAAAAATCGCCCGATTTTTGGTAGCTAGCGGCGAAAATCGCGCGATTTTCGCAGGTAAAGCCCACAAAATGCGCGATTTTCGCCGCTAGCGTCCAAAAATCGGGCGATCTTCGCTGCTAGCGGCCAAAAATCGGACGAATTTTCCCGTTAGAGAGCAAAATTCGCGAGATTTTGGCCGCTAGCGGCGAAAATCGACCGATTTTTGGCAGCTAGCGTCGAAAATCACGCGAATTTTTCTCGCTAGCGGCGAAAATCGCGCGATTTTCAACCGCTAGCAGCGAAATACGCCCGATTTTTGCCCTCTAGCGGCGTAATTCGCACGATTTTCGCTGCTAGCGGCCAAAAATCGCGCGATTTTCGCCGGTAGCGGGCAAAAATCGGGCGAATTTTGCCGCTGGAGGGACAAAACCGGGCGTATTTCGCTGCTAGCGGCCAAAAAACGGGCGATTTTCGCCGCTAGCGGCCAATAATCGCGCGATTTTCGCCGGTAGCGGGCAAAAATCGGGCGATTTTCGCCGCTGGAGGTAAAAAATCGGCCGATTTTCGCCGCTAACAGCAAAAATCGCCCGATTTTTGGTAGCTAGTGGCGAAAATCGCGCGGTTTTTTGCCGCTAGCGGCGAAAATCGCCCGATTTTTGGACGATAGCGGCGAAAATCGCCCGTTTTTTGGCTGCTAGCAGCGAAATACGCCCGGTTTTTGCCCTCCAGCGGCAAAATTCGCGCGATTTTTGCCGGCCAGCTGCGAAAATCGCATAGTTTTTTGCCGCTAGCGGCGAAAATCGCGCGATTTTTGCCCGCCAGCTGCGAAAATCGACCGATTTTTGGCTGCTAGCGGCGAAAATCGCACGGTTTTTGGCCGCTAGCGGCGAAAATCGCGCGACTTTCGCTGCTAGCGGCCAAAAACTGTGCGATTTTCGCTGCTAGCGGCCAAAAACCGCGCGATTTTCGCTGCTAGCGGCCAAAAACCGCGCGATTTTCGCTGCTATCGGCCAAAAATCGCGCGATTTTCGCTGCTATCGGCCAAAAATCGCGCGATTTTCGCAGGTAAAGGCCAAAAATTGCGCGATTTTCGCCGCTAGCGGGCAAAAATCGGTCGACTTTCGCCACTAGCGGCCAAAATCCATCGAATTTTGAAACCTTACAGCAAAATTCGCCCGATTTTTGGCCGCTACCGGCGAAAATCGCCCGATTTTTGCCCGCTACCGGCGAAAATCGCGCGATTTTTGGCCGCTAGCAGCGAAAATCGCGCGGTTTTTGGCTGCTAGCAGCGAAAATCGCGCGATTTTCGCCGGTAGCGGGCGAAAATCGCCCGATTTTCCCCGCTACCGGCCAAAAACCGCGCGATTCTCGCCGCTAGCGGCCAAAAATAATGCCCTCCAGCGGCGAAATTCGCTCGATTTTTGCCCGCTAGCAGCCAAAAACCGCGCGATTTTCGCTGCTAGCGGCCAAAAATCGCGCGATTTTCGCCGGTAGCGGGCAAAAATCGGGCGAATTTCGCCGCTGGAGGGCAAAAATCGGGCGTATTTCGCTGCTAGCGGTCAAAAAACGGGCGATTTTCGCCGCTAGCGGCCAGAAATCGCGCCATTTTCGCCGCTAGCGGCCAAAAACCATGCGATTTTCGCAGCTGGCGGGCAATAATCGCGCGATTTTCGCCACTAGCGGCCAAAATCCAGCGAATTTTGCCACCTTTCGGCAAAATTCGCCTGATTTTTGGCCGCTACCGGCGAAAATCGCCCGATGTTTGGACGCTAGCGGCAAAAAATTTCGATTTTCGCCGCTCGCGACCAAAAAAAGGGGTATTTTCGCCGCTAGTGGGCAAAATTCGCGTGATTTTCGCAGCTAGCGGCCAAAAATCGCACGTTTTTTAAAAACCCTAGCGGCCAAAAAATCGGCCGATTTTCGACGCTAGAGGCCGAAATGTGGCGATTTTTGCCGCTAGCAGCCAAAAATCGCCCGAGTTTTCGCCGCTAGCTGAAAACTAATCTGCAAACTACTCCTCAAAGTAGCGAAAGTAGCCCAATTTTGGGCTACAAAGTAGCGAAAGTAGCCCAATTTTGGGCTACAAAGAAGCGAAAGTAGCGCAATTTTGGGCTACAAAGTAGCGAAAGTAGCCCAAAATTGGGCTACTTTCGCTACTTTGTAAAGTAGTTTGCAGATTAGTTTTCTAATCTAGCGGTTTTTGGCTAGCGGCGAAAACTCGGGCGTTTTTTGGCTGCTAGCGGCAAAAATCGCCTCATTTCGGCCTCTAGCGTCAAAAATCACCCGATTTTTTGGCCGCTACGGTCAAAAACGCCCGATTTTTGGCCGCTAGCGGCGAAAATCGCCTGATTTTTGGCCGCTAGCTGCGAAAATCGCACGGTTTTTGGCCGCTAGCAGCGAAAATCGCGCGGTTTTTGGCCGTTAGCGGCAAAAACCGAGCGATTTTCGCCGCTAGCTGCCAATAATCGCGCGATTTTCGCCGGTAGCGGGTAAAAATCGGGCGAATTTCGCCGCTGGATGTAAAAAATCGGCCGATTTTCGCCGCTAACAGCAAAAATCGCCCGATTTTTGGTAGCTAGTGGCAAAAATATGCGATTTTTGGCCGCTAGCGGCGAAAATCGCGCGATTTTTGCCGGCCAGCTGCGAAAATTGCATGGTTTTTGGCCGCTAGCGGCGAAAATCGCGCGATTTTTGTCCGCCAGCTGCGAAAATCGACCGATTTTTGGCCGGTAGCGGCGAAAATCGCCCGATTTTTGGACGATAGCGGCGAAAATCGCTCGGTTTTCGCTGCTAGCGGCCAAAAACCGTGCGATTTTCGCCGCTAGCGGCCAAAAATCGTGCGAATTTCGCCGCTAGCGGCCAAAACTCGCGCGATTTTCGCCACTAGCGGCCAGAAACCATGCGATTTTCGCCGCTACCGGCCAAAAACTGCGCGATTTTCGCCGCTAGCTGCCAAAAACCATGCGATTTTCCTGCTGGCGGGCAAAAATCGCGCAATTTTCGCTGCTACCGGCCGAAAATCGCTCGATTTTCGCCCCTACCGGCCAAAAACCGCGCGATTTTCGCCGCTAGCGGCCAAAATTGCATGCGATTTTCGCAGCTGGCGGGCAAAAATCGCGCAATTTTCGCCGCTACCGGCCAACAACCGCAAGATTTTCGCCGCTAGCGGCAAAAAGCCATGCGATTTTCGCAGCTGGCGGGCAAAAATCGCGCGATTTCACCGCTATGGTCAAAAACCGCGCGATTTTCGCCGCTAGCGGCCAAAATCGGCCGATTCTTGCCGCTAGCGGCAAAAATCGCCCGATTTTTGCCCACCAGTGGCGAAATTTGTCCGATTTTTGCCCGCTACTTGCGAAAAAAGCGCGATTTTTGGCAGCTAGCGGCGAAAATCGTACTGTTCTTGCCGCTAGCAGCAAAAATCGCGCGGTTTTTGGCCGGTAGCGGCGAAAATCGCCCGATTTTTGCGCTCCAGCGGCGAAATTCGCCAGATTTTTGCCCGCTACCGGCGAAAAAAGCGCGATTTTTGGCAGCTAGCGGCAGAAAACCATGCGATATTCGCAGCTGGCGAGCAAGAATTGCGCAATTTTCGCCGCTAGCGGCAAAAAACCATGCGATTTTCGCAGCTGGCGGGCAAAAATCGCTCTATTTTTGCCGCTACCGGTCAAAAACCGCGCGATTTTCGCCGCTACCGGTCAAAAACCATGCGATATTCGCAGCTGGCGAGCAAGAATCGCGCAATTTTCGGCGCTAGCGGCAAAAAACCATGCGATTTTCGCAGCTGGCGGGCAAAAATCGCTCGATTTTTGCCGCTACCGGCCAAAAACCGCGCGATTTTCGCCGCTAGCGGCCAAAATCCATGCGATTTTCGCAGCTGGCGGGCAAAAATCGCGCGATTTTCGCCGCTACCGGCCAAAAATAGCGCGATTTTCGCCGCCAGCGGCCAAAAATCACCCAAGATAATATTTATTGGTACAACATTTATACCGATAAATGGATTGAGCTTGAAAAATCCGGGTTGAAGTCAAATGACCTTTCCAAGGTTAAATTTAAGGTCATTTAAGGAAACATTTTTTTATTTGAACCTTTTATTTTAACATTTATTTATTATTTTATTTGATTTAAAAAATGAACAAAATAAAATGTAGAGAGCCACACAATAGCTTTAAAACGGTATTTGAATTATTTATGTGCCATAGGATCAGATATACGTCCTCTTGAACCGAAATCTATTACAGGCTCACTGTAGGCCGTGCTACATGCAAATTTTATTCCACGCCACCTTAAACGCGGAACAAAAGACATCTAAAAGAACTACGTCATCTTAAAATAAGTCAAGATCTTGGAAAATTAACCCTTTTGGCAAAACTCAAGGTCGCGAATTTCTGGAACCCCCCGGATATTTGTAGCTTGATTAATCACACACTAACAATCACACTGTAACAAACACTCACAGTCTCATAGTGCAACAAGTAACAAATAAAATTCACGGTATAAACATTAAAAAATATTCATAGTACACAATCATCATATGGTGTAAAGTCATAAGAGTTTATGAGAAAACAGTGGTTCCTTTAGCGTGTATTTATAAAAAATTCGAACAATTCAATTTTACATTATTTTTAATCATTTGACAACGATTATTTTAAATTTACAATCATAAATTATTTTAATTGTTTATAATCATTTTAAAATTAACTTTTTCTAAAATATTGTGAAAATACAAATATCACTCCACTCATAAAGCAAGACGGTAAAGTAAATTATATTGTCAGTCTGAGAAATAATCATTCAGATCCATCAGATTTTTTTTAATAAAAGCATAAATGCATATAGAACACTAATATCTTGTTAGTCCCGTGGTTCTTCATGTGGTTTCTAAGATTTCCTTTGTACAAGAAATACCACACAGATGAAATAAAAACTATGGGTCAACGAAACTTTTTGATTTGTTTAGATTGTTAAAATTAACCTTAGCGTGAGAGTGGAGAAGCAAACAAAATATTATGTGGCCGAGATGTCGATCGAGCTTGGCAGGTCCTCTTGCATCGATGCCTTATGACCAAGTAAATGTTTGTCAAGATTGCGTGTCTGACTGTATGAACAATCGCACTTTGAACACTTGTATTTTCGGTTAGCACCATGGGCTTTCATGTGGTTCGTAAGAAATGCTAGTTTTGAATATATGATACCACACAAGTAACAGGGGAAACATGTGTTAAAATGACCTTGACGTATATCTTTCGACAGCCGAGGAGCAAATGAAGCCTTGTATTGACTTGTATTTACCGAGGTTCTTGGCTGAAGAGGAACCGAGGTTCTTGGCTTAACAGGAGCCGAGATGCTTGGCAAATCTTGCCGCTGTGAGAGAATAATATTATTGGAGGGCATCGATGCCTTATGAGCAAGTAAATGTTTGTCAAGGCTGCGTGCCTGGGTGTAAGAACAATTACACATGGAACACTTGTATCTTTGGTTAGCACCATGGGCTTTCTTATGATTCTTAAGAAATGCTTTGCTTGAAAAAGAAATACCACACAAGGAACACCTTTGCTTACAACCAGCTTTCATATGTTTCATAAGTAATGTTTTGCGTGAAAAAGAAATACCACACAAGAAACACTTGTGTCTTTGGTTAAAACCATGGACTTTCATATGTCTCGTAAGAAATGCTTGGCGTGAAAAACAAATACCACACAAGGAACAGGTGACCTTGAGATACGGGTTAAAGTGTTCTTTAATCTGTTTGCTATATTGGAGCTCGACTGGGGAAACACCAGACGCGTCGACCGTCAGGCTGACTACACTCTTGACTTGAGGAGATTTGTCCTCGCCGACAGTCGTCACATCTATCACAAGGAAAGAAAATTATTTTTCAATTATAATAAATAATTGTGTATTTGTTCAATAACAACAAAGTATTATGCCTTAACCCATACAGTTCATAATGAACTTCTTAGTTTCTTATATATAATATATTTTTAGCTGTCAGTTGTAAATAACATGGTCCAAATATTTCAGATTATAGGGGATACACGACCCTGTTTTTATTGAATGCTCAAATCAGTGGGATGCCCTTGCAGCCTGAAACAAAAAAGCAAAAGTAAGCAAGCAATTATCAAAAGAAGGCACCAAACCGGGAAGGCTATGTAGCACCATCAAATGTGCAGAATAATAAGAGGGCGCTATATATCACCAAGGATGCCAATACGAGAACAAAAACGCACGAGGCGAACGATATCAAAAGTATCTGAGTCACCAAGAATTCTATTGAGGGTCAGGTGACCGCGAGGGGCGGTCGGAAAGCAAGACACGCTCGTCCTGGAAGTCAGGACATGCACGACCGTAAGAGGGACAATGCAATTAGGACAATAAGGCGCAGGGTGGCGCTCCATCAAGTGACCATGGGTTAAGCGAGTATGGCCAATACGCAACCTCGCCAGAGCTGTTTCCCATCGCCGGTTACGGTGGTAGGAGGACGGCCACGAGGAAACAACATTTAAGAGTACGTAGTTTGTTACCAGTAACAGACGACCAAGAAGGCTGCCAACGGGTAAGAATGGAGGAATGGATAACCGGGTAAAAGTCAGAATATGGAATACCTTTACGAGAGATGGGACAAGAGCGGACAGCTTCCTTGGCGGCAGCATCCGCACGCTCATTTAAAGACACGCCAATATGGCTGGGAACCCAACAAAACTCAACCGACTTAAATTTACTGTGAACAAGAAACAGCCAATGCTGGATCTCGACAACTACTGAATGAACCGGATTAAGGGACCCGAGAGCCATGAGGGCACTACGAGAGTCAACAACAACTACAAAGGAAGACTGACAACGAGAAAGCAGGAGACGAAGAGCATAGAGAATAGCATAAAGGTCCTCTGTAAAGATGCTAGCCTCCAGAGGTAACCGATACATATAAGTGTGATCAGGAAAAACAGCAGAGTAGCCAACACCGTCCGCAGACTTGGACCCATCGGTGAAGACAGAAACGGAGCGGGAGCGAGAAGAAAAGTGCTCAAAGAAAAGGCGTTTTAGAACCATAGGAGGGGTAAAAGCTTTAGTGATGCGGGTCAAGGATGTACAAAACTGCGGAAGGGGGACTCTCCACGGGAGCAAAGGAACAACACGAGGAGAAACATTAGAAACACGAACGGAAAGAGAATCCTGTAAGCGAGATAACTGGACAGAAAGAGGGAGGTGGTGAAGAGGAACAGGAACCGCAGGAGGGGTAAACGTTAAAGCACGACAGAGGCGAGAGGAAGGATGTTGTAAGAACCGCGCAAGATAGTGAAGACAGAGATCACGGCGGTCCTGGAGACACAGGAAGCCAGTGTCAACATACAAGGTAAGGACGGGAGTCGAACGAACAGTTAATCCATTTGTGGGATTAACTGTGTCCATTTTATAGTATGACGACCAAAATTTAACCCAATAATTTAAATGGGCCTAAGAACAGGATACAGCTGAAACAGTGTTCATTATAATTCAATGTGTCAGTAGACAGGCAGCCAGCTTATACATAAAATGCATATATTTCCAGCCAATTTTTGTATTTCAAGCATATTTACCAGTCTTACCTGGGACGCGGTCGGGTCAAGATACCTGCTCCGCACCTTCCCCCCCCCTCCCCCCATGCTGGGTACTGAGATGGAGACTCAGTCACCAGAAGACATGGCTACTTCTCACGGCGTTATTAACATGGCCTCTGAAAGCAGCCAGTCAGACGAGGAGGGCGAGTATCTAGAAGTTCTGACAAGGAATAAGAAGAAACGAAGAAGACAGGAGGCAAGGCGTAGTGTGGACAGTAATACACTTAACGGAAACGATAAGAGAATGAAGAACGACGCCGAGACTGATGCAGACAAACGGACGGAACGATGTGAGGAAGGTGAGGGTCAGCGGAGATGGAGGCTTCTCTTCCCTGCCTCATGCACGTTGGCCTATCATCAGAAGCTGCTGTGGACCGTCAAACTCGGAAGAGAACACCGCAAGTTCGAGCCCCTGCTGAAGGAAGGTGTAAACAGACCTTACTTAACGGTAGGTTCTATGGAGGCAGTGACGTTTCTTAGCCAGCAAGGATATGATGGAATTCTTATGGAAATACCGGAGGGGAACGAGAAGCTGACGAAGGTAATTATCTATAAATACCCTCAGATTCTGGACCCCGAGTTTATACTCGACGACCAACGATTTGTGTGGGCCAAGCGTCACCTTATTAAAGGTGAAGCTAGGAGTCAGGTGGTGGCTCTAGTGAGAGGCGACGTACCCGAGAAAGTGTTCATCACCGGGGCTGGCTACAGGCATGTAGCAAAGTATGTGGAAGAGCCCATAATATGCCTGAAATGCTGCAGATGGGGGCATAAATCCTGGAGCTGTCAAAATGATCCACGATGTCGTTTCTGCGGAAAGTCTCACCTCTCTACTGTGTGTAGAAACAGACTGAATCTGGGTGAGAAAATAGTTCCCAGATGCTGCAACTGTGGAGGTGTTCACAATGCGAGCTCGGCTGTGTGTAGCAAGAGGCCGAGTATGGCTGTTCTCCGGCCGGTGAATGTTACAGAGCAAGCAAGAGCTCTTACCCAGACACCGGGAGCACAGCAAAACAGTCTGCCCCAAACAGTGCCAGTGAACCGGACGAATGCGTGGGTAAAGGAGTCACCTTTACTTAGGCAGGCTCCAGCAACAAGCAGCCACGCCACCACTCAGGACTCCGGCAGTGACAGTGTAACGGTGAGTGAAGTGGCTACTGTGGCTCAGAAAGAGGGTCATAATAATATGGTCAAGGAAGTGTGGGCTGAACTTAAAAAAGTTGGTGAGTTCCTCCAAAATCTTGGGCAGAGAATCGAGTCCATCGAGGCTAAATTAAACGTTCAGGAGGTCAAGGAAAATCACAAAACGGTGAAGGATAGTCAGAATATAGTGGTTGAGGACAAAAATGAAATATTGAGTGATGAAATGAAGGAAAGTGAAGTGTGTGTGAATGATGATAGTCGTAGGGAAAGGAAGAACCCTATAATTACACATAAAATGAAAGAATCATTTGGGCCAATAATGGACGTCTCAGGGCTGAAAAAATCTCTTGAGAATCGCAATGTCGCTTTTACTGGTGAACTTGGGAGGAGGTGGGAGATGTTATACAAGGTATGGCTATCATTTAGTGAACTTATTGTGGATGACTTAGACAGTGAATTGATTAATAATGGATCACCCTAGACTGAAAGTGTTGTCATGGAATGTTAATGGTTTGAGAAACAGGGTTACAGATGTTCATAGTTATGTGATGGGAAATGATATTGATGTTGTAGCTCTCCAAGAGACAGGGGATAGGAATGAAGGATTATTGAAATTAAATGGCTATAAAGGGTTTCACCTCTTCGCCGCAAATAACATCAGAGGCACGTCGATTTATGTTAAGAACTCCATACCAGCAGAGTTAGTAGAACCGCCATCAAAAACGCAAGGTATAGAGAGTGTCTGTGTTAAATTATCATTAAGGGAAGGGGAATTTATTGTAGTTAATTTGTATGTATCCAGGAACTGCTTCGACGCTAACTATTTACCTGACTGCATTTATACTAATCCTTCACTGGTCATTGGGGACCTTAATGCTCGGCACACAAGCCTTGGGACAGTAGGTAGTATTAATACTAATGGGGTCAAGTGGTTACAGTTTCTACAAGATCATCCAGATACCTGTCTCTTGGGAAACAATGAACCAACTCACATCAGGGGAGGACGGCTTGACTATGCCTGCGTTTTAAACTCTCAGGGGATTATGGGGGAGGCTCGGGTTGTTCGGGAACTACTTAGTGACCACTTTGCCTTGAACGTTGAATTACCACTGGGGAAAAAACAAGTCCACTTTCAAAGGAAAAGGCTAAATATTAATAAAGATATGAAAAATTACTTTATTCAAAATATGGGAGATTGGTATCAACATTACACGCCGCTCTGCGTTGATAGTTTTTACGAGGACATGGTCGAGAACATAGAGAAATTAGTACAGAGGGAAAATAACGGGGGCAGGGGAAGCAAGACGCACGGACCTAAGAAATTTAAATATTCCAATGATCAGCAAGTCAAGGGATGGGAGAGAATGCTACGGAGTGCGCATAAAGCATGGTTAAAAAATGGAATGAGGGATGAAGAGAAAAATACAATGTTGGAAGTGGCTAGGGAATGCAGTCAGGTGAGGAAGGAGGCGCGGGACAGATACTGGCAAGAATTTGCTCAGTCCATTGGTAATACTAAGAACCTTAAAGACATATGGAGAGCAGTAAATAAAGTCAGGGGTTGTAAGACCAAATTCATTGCTCACTCAGATCCAGGGAAAGTTGCTAATGAGTTAGTAGATAAATGGGCAAGTGCTGCTGGTATGGAGTCCTTACCTGCAGACACGAGAGTCACCATTGAGTCATGGGAAAATATTAGAAATGGAGTAACTTTATGTGCCTTAAATACAAGATCTATAACATGCACTGAGATAACCCACGATGAGCTACTGGATGCTATAAAAAGTGGCAGCTCCACTGCTCCGGGAAAAGATGGAGTAACGTATGACATACTTAATTATTTAGCCGGTATGAAACCTAATCCCTTACTTGATTTGTTTAATATGAGTTATAGAGAGGGAAAGTTACCAAGAAAATGGAAAGAGGCTGTCATCATTCCTATCCCTAAGTCAAACGGAGGCTACAGACCTGTCTCCTTAATATCCTGCTTTTGTAAAATGATGGAAAGGATTTTGTTAAATAGGCTACTCTACCTTGTAGGTGATAACATGTCCAGTAATCTCTTTGGTTTTATCAAAGGCAAAAGTACTGCGGATTGTCTCTTAAAGTGCTTGTCTAATGTGGATGACAATTGTAGAGTTTTTGTTGATCTACAAGGAGCGTTTGATAAAGCCAATGGGGAAGTAATCTTATACGAATTAGCCAATCTGGGAATAACAGGGAGATTGCTACACTGGATAAGGGATTATCTACAAGGCAGAAAAGGTCAGGTGTATTACCAGGGATACATGTCTGAGGAACGGAGGTTTCAGTTAGGTACCCCACAAGGGGGAGTATTAAGTCCCACCTTATTCAATGTATTAATGAACAGATTAGCATCAGAGATGTATCCTCCAGGGGTCACGACGATCATATATGCTGATGACATTCTTATACAAGGCACTTCTGGGAACAAAATTCAAGATGCTCTTAACATACTTGGTACAACCTGTCACAAGTTAGGCTTAGTTATAAATGCAGATAAAACCAAATACGAGTATAGGAAACGAAGAAATATAACACTTACTCTAAATGGTGTGGAACTGAGCCGTGTACAGAAGTACAAGTATCTGGGCATGTATGTTGGATACACATGTGAGAGTAAAAATGCTGAAATAAATCATATCAGCACCTTATGTAAAGCCCGTCTGCATCCTCTAAAAGCACTGGCTTTTTCTGGTAAAGGTGTTGGGGTACCTATCTTGCGGATGTTATACATAAGCACTGTTCGGTCCCTGATAGACTACGCAGCACCCGTATTGTCTTACACAGGCCAAGGCAGAATTCAAAAAATAGAGCTGATACAGAACGAGGCTATGAGGATTATTCTTGGATGTCAAAGAAATGCAATGATTGAAATAATGAGAATGGAATTAAATTTACAGAGTGTGTGTGATAGAGTCCGTGACATTAACACTAGAGTATCTATTCGTTTCATGCGGAGAAAAGGAGGGGATAAGCTGTTTGAGAGCGTTCAGACCTGCTTGAGTGACGTACACACTTCCAGGAAACTGAGGGAGACACGCTATACGAGAGGATTAGCTCATGACCTCAGGGAATACGACGTACTTGACTGCTGTAAACCCTCTCGACAGTGTAATATGTCTGCTCCCTGGAAAGTACAGAAAATAGACGTCGAAATTGTACCCCTCAAGGTGAAAAAGATTCATCATGAACCGGGACAATTACGGTGTTTGTATGGAAGCATGATATCTCGGTTACCAAGAGGCAACAGTTTACATGTATATTGCGACGGGTCGGTGGCGGAAGATGGCAGGGCAGGGTGTGGTGTCCTAATAAGGGATTATACGGAGTTTGGGACTGTGGACAGGATAATTGAACTCCGGCTTAGTAATTATATATCATCCACACAAGCTGAACTGCAGGCCATTCTGGCGTGTTTGGAGGAAGTACGTCATGACGACAAAAATGTTTTTGTATTTGTCGATAGCCGAGGAGCACTGGAGTCCTTAAACAGTCGAAACCCAGTCTTCATGTCTATAGTGGAGGACTGTAAGAGAAGAATAACTGAGATACAGCTGAAAGGTTATAGTGTGAAATTCATGTGGATTCCATCTCATGTTGGAATAGTGCTCAACGAGGTGGCGGATGACTTGGCCAAACGTGCCACATCAAAACCACAAGTTGACATTGAATGTGAATTCACAATGAGACAAATAAGAAGCAAAATCAGAAATATTCAGGCACAGGCGGGAGTGGAGAGGAGAGAGATAATGTATGAGAGAAGTCAAACCATGCAACACTACATGTATGTGAGTCAAAACACCCATTTCACTTATGGTAAAAGGAGAAATGCTTGGAGTGACTCTGTGTACATGCGGCTCAGGCTTGGGTACAAATATTACTGGGAATATGGGATAGATGTTCATGGTAATGACACGAAGTGTAAACTATGTGGTATGTTAAGGTCTCACACCCTTGCCCATTATATTCTTGATTGTCCGTTGATTAATGTATATAGAAACACTGAGATAAGGACTGTTCCTGAACAAATAGCCTGGATGTGTCACAACGGAAAGGTTGATGATATTCTTGAGAGATATAAGAATTTTGCACCAAGATTGTAATATTTTGTTGAATTATCTGCAGGTGTCTTGCAAATTGTCTATACAGTATACCTAGGTCATAAAAGTATTTGTGTGTACGTCTGATAACATACTACTTGTGAGGGAGGAAATGTATATTTTTACCTCTCAGAATGTTTGGTAATGTGTTTATTTGTGATGTGTGTCTATGTATATATTAACACGTTGTACTGAATGGGGTGAGAATAGCTTGAGCTACCTCATCCCTTTGTGTGTATTTTACCTCAATAAACTTATTTCAATTTCAATTTCAGGGCATTTACAAAAGGTTCCCCACTCTGAATATTTATATGAGGGGATGTTCCGACATGGCGACGGCTGGAGGTACAAACAGCGTCTCTTCTACAAACATTCATGATATCGTTGAGGGTTTTGGGAAACTACTGTTACATGGCACACACAAAGATCATGATCGTCACCCGGTCATAGAGGAGGATCCAGGAGAGTAAACATCACAGTAAGGCAAACAGATCAGAGGTGCAACGCCGCCATCATACAGAGGTAAACAGAGACCACACAAAAATGTGCATCAGATAAACTTGCCTGCTCAAACTGTGGTGGCAAACATGACATTACATTCAGACACAGACGCAAAAACTATGACAAACAAAACACATCGTTTGACTGACGACGAAAAAACTCCTTAGCACGCCACCCCAACTCGCTCCCAAGGCTGACTTGCCACAAACTCTAACCACCGGCAACAAGAGTAAGAAATCCTCAACTGTACAAACCTCCCAGAGTGAAAAAAACCCATAAACTACACTCCCACGACACATCTTCCAAAGGGAAATTGGGTGGAAAGCATTCGCTTGATTTGGCTTGGGAATTGGAATGATTATGCTGTTGGTCCAAGAGACAGGAAGTTCCTCAGTTACATAGCTCATATAATACAGCTCAAGCAGGGGATTCCCGGGTACTAAAAGAAGTAGACACAATATGTCATAAGTGATACCATCCTCACCGGGGGATATGGCTTTACCTTTGTTTAGGGCCATGAGTAATTCAAACCCAGTAAATGGCACGTTCATCTTCCTTGTGGAGCATGAAGTCAATGAGCCTTTCTCGATCTTCGTAACCAGCATTTAATCTGAATTGTGTCTGGGGGAAGATTATCGAGGAAGTCATCTGTATTGTTCCAGGGGCATTGGATTGTAACAAGAGACTTTGAACTAGGTACCCTGATGGGAGGTGGCACGTCTAAGAAGACCGATGTAATAACATCCCAGATGTAAAAATCTGAAATACGACAACATAACAACCCTTCAACTAACCTACCCCAACGAAACCTACTCAACACCCCCAACAACACCTACCCCAACCTAACCTTACACACATTAACCCATATTAATTAATGTACTCTAACTCACCCTACCATAATTTACCCTAACTTATCTGAATTGCGACCAACATTTACTCACAATCTCAGTCACATACTAAACCACATACCTTTCATAAAACAGCAACACTTGGATACCACCATTAACACAACCTCTCATCTTTGCTATCTTAAGCCCATTTCTACTCTTATGTTTTTTTTCTCATTATCCTCACAAAAATAGACATCGATAACTTCCAACCAAATTGTGAACATTTTGGTCACTTTCCTGTCAACGTCACTTTCAGTGACATTGATGCGTCACCGAAAGTGCCACATCTATCAACATCACCACTCGTGCAGTCATCGGGAGAACCTTCGTGCAAATTGACCGTTTCCAAAGAAGAAGAATTATACCGTTTCATTTGCAGCACTTAGCCAACTTAAAATAGCACCCCCAAATGCTGCGAGTCTTTATCTTTGTAAAGAGCCTGTCTCGTGGAACAATATCAAACGCTTTGCTAAAGTCAAGGTACACAACGTCACAAACCTACGGCCTCATACATGCTAGAATAGAATGAGAGCAAATTTATCAAACATTAGAGACCCTTAAAAAAGCCTCAAATGTTGTGAATAATTCATTTTTACCTAAAAAGATAAAAGTAATATTGAGATTACTTACTGCAAGTTCCATTGCTGCCGAAAATGTCTCTTGATATATTCGTCTCAAAGACATCAACGCTGCTACTCGAACCAGTTGATTGTGTATCGCCTTCGAAATTAACTGACATATCCATGTCTACGGGATCCATCATATTCTTGTTAGTCTTTATATCTAGGTCTCCGTGATCCACTGTGTCCTCGTCAGTCTTTGCGGCGAGGGCGGGGACCTCATCGTCGAGAGCAAGCAGTCTCTGGTGAATCGCCTGGAGATATTCTAATGTTATAATCAGGTGGTCGGGATCCACCATATCATCCAGGTCTCCCTGATCCACGTCAGTCTTCACGGCGAGGGCAGGGACCTCATCGTAGGTTGATGTAGACATACTCCGGAGATTCCTGTCGAAGCTCTTATCCATTGTGCCTATGTAAAGACGAATTATTTATATACTCTGAATTATAGAGTATATATAGTTTAATACAAGCGCTGATAGGAAAGTGAACCAAATGTAGCTCGGGTATGTGTGGTCTGTAAGTGAGCTTACACCACTTATATTTGCTACACTGCATCTGATCTCCACATAATATGACGCTTTAGTCATGTCACCCTTTCATCTCTTCCATCAATCATTTAGAACATAAGAATGAAGGTAACTGCGGAAGGCCTATTGGCCCTCAAGCGTATGTTTCAAGCGTTACACATACGCTTGAAACAATCAAGGGATCCTACTTCTATTATGTTACACGGTAATTGGTTCCACAAATCAACAACTCTATTACTGATCCAGTATTTACCCAGGTCTTTCCTAGACTTATCCAATTTAAACCCATTGTTTCGTGTTCTGTCTTGTGTTACTTTTAATACCATAATATCTTCTTTATGTCCATTCATACACTTTATATTGCATAATGCATATATGCATTATTTGTTTGGGTTTAAACTGTTAGTAGATAGTGGTATGGAAATTGTTATCGAGAAAGGAGGTAATAAAAGTATGTGTTTGTGGGGGAAATGAATTGACAAAATGATCAGGGAAAGAAGAACATAAGAACATAAAAACAAAGTTAATTGCAGAATGCCTTTTGGCCGATACGAGGCAGCTCCTATCTATAATCACCCAATCCCACTCAAATACATGTCCAACCCACGCTTGAAACATTTGAGAGACCCCACCTTCACCATGTTACGCGATAATTGGTTCCACAAACCAACAACCCTGTTACCGAACCAGTATTTACCCAAGTCTTTCCTAAATCTAAACCAATCCAATTTATAACCATTGTTTCGCATTCTGTCTTGTGTTGAAGAATAGAATGGCCCTGGGCATCAAGGATATGTCGAATATCGTCGAGGCAGTCTCGCAGATCCCGAACACCGGTCGCAACATGGGGCGGGAGGAGAATAGTGCCAACACTGGCGTTCAACTGAACGTTCTTTGAGACCCGAACAGAGGTCTCGCCAAGGCAGGATAAAGCAGCCAAGCGGAAAGCTGCATCCTGAGAGGGAGCAGCAATGACACGGGTACCGAGATGAGTGGGGTTGAAGGTAACAGAGGCATCCACGGAATCAACGAGATGTCGATGGAGGGAGAAATCGTCAGGAGGCGCAGAATCAAGAAGGAGGAGATCAAAATATTTGGCCCACGAAGCGGGACCAAACAAAGCTTGATAGGTATCAGAACGGGAAGGGCGGCCGTGACGAGGACGGCGTTGAGAACCCCCAGAGAGAGAGAGAGGGGTTAAAAGGCGCAGAAGTTACAACTAGAGATGGAGCCGCGTCAGGGGACGAGGTAGTCACCACTGGGGGCTTGGGGCTAACCACAAGGAGGGAGCCGAGGGGAGCAGTCAGAGAGGCCAAAGGAGGAGCAAGGTCGGGGCCCAATGCAGCGGAGGCTACAGAGCCCGGTCTTCCAACACAGACTGACTCGGGGGCTTGGTCGCCCACCCCACGAGCTTGAGAAGGTAAAGGAGAAACAGTAGATATTGCTACGAAAAATCAACATTCATTCACGAATGTGCCCCCACACCCACCATGGAGCCACAATTAGAGGCAGGAATTGTGGCTCAACACCCAACAAGAAGCTATCGCCGATCATGCCGGGGCCTCCTAGGGGTTCGTCGTGAGTATACGCCCCACAAACACCACCTTAAGAACCGACAGTCCGTCGAGATCGGGTTCAGTGACGAAAAGGGGATTGAAAAGGTAAGAATAAAAAAATAAAAGGTTCCCCTCGCTCTCGACGTTGGGTACTACAGTTATACGGGTGCAAGAGTATGCCTCCTCAAGCACCCGGGCGTCAAAATAAATTGAAATTGAAATTGAAATACGTTTATTGAGGTAAAATACACACAAAGGGATGAGGTAGCTCAAGCTATTCTCACCCCATTCAGTACAACGTGTTAATATATACATAGACACACATCACAAATAAACACATTACCAAACATTTTGAGAGGTAAAAATATACATTTCCTCCCTCACAAGGAGTATGGTATCAGACGTACACACAAATACTTTTATGACCTAGGTATACTGTATAGACAATTTGCAAGACATCTGCAGATAATTCAACAAAATATTACAATCTTGGTGCAAAATTCTTATATCTCTCAAGAATATCATCAACCTTTCCGTTGTGACACATCCAGGCTATTTGTTCAGGAACAGTCCTTATCTCAGTGTTTCTATATACACTAATCAACGGACAATCAAGAATATAATGGGCAAGGGTGTGAGACCTTAACATACCACATAGTTTACACTTCGTGTCATTACCATGAACATCTATCCCATATTCCCAGTAATATTTGTACCCAAGCCTGAGCCGCATGTACACAGAGTCACTCCAAGCATTTCTCCTTTTACCATAAGTGAAATGGGTGTTTTGACTCACATACATGTAGTGTTGCATGGCTTGACTACTCTCATACATTATCTCTCTCCTCTCCACTCCCGCCTGTGCCTGAATATTTCTGATTTTGCTTCTTATTTGTCTCATTGTGAATTCACATTCAATGTCAACTTGTGGTTTTGATGTGGCACGTTTGGCCAAGTCATCCGCCACCTCGTTGAGCACTATTCCAACATGAGATGGAATCCACATGAATTTCACACTATAACCTTTCAGCTGTATCTCAGTTATTCTTCTCTTACAGTCCTCCAATATAGACATGAAGACTGGGTTTCGACTGTTTAAGGACTCCAGTGCTCCTCGGCTATCGACAAATACAAAAACATTTTTGTCGTCATGACGTACTTCCTCCAAACACGCCAGAATGGCCTGCAGTTCAGCTTGTGTGGATGATATATAATTACTAAGCCGGAGTTCAATTATCCTGTCCACAGTCCCAAACTCCGTATAATCCCTTATTAGGACACCACACCCCGCCCTGCCATCCTCCGCCACCGACCCGTCGCAATATACATGTAAACTGTTGCCTCTTGGTAACCGAGATATCATGCTTCCATACAAACACCGTAATTGTCCCGGTTCATGATGAATCTTTTTCACCTTGAGGGGTACAATTTCGACGTCTATTTTCTGTACTTTCCAGGGAGCAGACATATTACACTTTCGAGAGGGTTTACAGCAGTCAAGTACGTCGTATTCCCTGAGGTCATGAGCTAATCCTCTCGTATAGCGTGTCTCCCTCAGTTTCCTGGAAGTGTGTACGTCACTCAAGCAGGTCTGAACGCTCTCAAACAGCTTATCCCCTCCTTTTCTCCGCATGAAACGAATAGATACTCTAGTGTTAATGTCACGGACTCTATCACACACACTCTGTAAATTTAATTCCATTCTCATTATTTCAATCATTGCATTTCTTTGACATCCAAGAATAATCCTCATAGCCTCGTTCTGTATCAGCTCTATTTTTTGAATTCTGCCTTGGCCTGTGTAAGACAATACGGGTGCTGCGTAGTCTATCAGGGATCGAACAGTGCTTATGTATAACATCCGCAAGATAGGTACCCCAACACCTTTACCAGAAAAAGCCAGTGCTTTTAGAGGATGCAGACGGGCTTTACATAAGGTGCTGATATGATTTATTTCAGCATTTTTACTCTCACATGTGTATCCAACATACATGCCCAGATACTTGTACTTCTGTACACGGCTCAGTTCCACACCATTTAGAGTAAGTGTTATATTTCTTCGTTTCCTATACTCGTATTTGGTTTTATCTGCATTTATAACTAAGCCTAACTTGTGACAGGTTGTACCAAGTATGTTAAGAGCATCTTGAATTTTGTTCCCAGAAGTGCCTTGTATAAGAATGTCATCAGCATATATGATCGTCGTGACCCCTGGAGGATACATCTCTGATGCTGATCTGTTCATTAATACATTGAATAAGGTGGGACTTAATACTCCCCCTTGTGGGGTACCTAACTGAAACCTCCGTTCCTCAGACATGTATCCCTGGTAATACACCTGACCTTTTCTGCCTTGCAGGTAATCCCTTATCCAGTGTAGCAATCTCCCTGTTATTCCCAGATTGGCTAATTCGTATAAGATTACTTCCCCATTGGCTTTATCAAACGCTCCTTGTAGATCAACAAAAACTCTACAATTGTCATCCACATTAGACAAACACTTTAAGAGACAATCCGCAGTACTTTTGCCTTTGATAAAACCAAAGAGATTATTGGACATGTTATCACCATGTCAAAATAAAAGTCCAAAGGAATAACGTTAACAAGCAAAAGGTCGGCAGGAAACGGCAAGCAGATAGGAGAAGAGGGGGGAGAAAAACGAAACAGAAGGAAAAGGAAAAGGTGCTCAGCATAATTGGAGAGGACGGCAGCAGGAGCACTAGGCTAGAAAGGGACAGAAGACTGTCCCAAGGAGCATCACACTCCGGCAGCCGCCCACTAAGCCCCCCTCACGGCATCAACGAGCTGAGCGGGGAGGGGGGTGTGAAACAGAAGCAGAGGCGCCACTATTGCACTACTTACTGAAATGTGAAGCTACCGAGGCCCTGCGCATCAAACTCAACATTAATCCAACGACAGCAGCTGCATTAGATGCACATTCCACCGCGACTACAATAATTAGAAAAGTCGTTGAGGAATGGGACTCAAGTGAGCATTATGTATCTACATCCGCCACCAAGATAATGTTAATAAAAGAAGACTAAAAACCAGTGGACTAAAACAGAAGCGATAAACAAACAGGGAAAAAGGAGGAATCTCCTCCATTTTAAACTTAGACCCAAATATCACAGAAACAAGGTTATCGCGAATAACCAAACTCAATTACGGGCTCACTATAGCCCGTGCTACATGGACACTTCGAGTAGCTAAATCTGAAATATCAACATCACGTTAATCTTAAGCTGCATGTTGTTGTTTCAGATTTAGCCAGCTGCAAGTTTCCGAAGAAGAATTATGTTGATTCATTTCATTGGAGCACTTAGCCAACTTAAAATAGCACCCCCCAGTCTGCGAGTCTTTAAAACAGCACCGAGTCATTAAAAAGAGCCTGTCTCGTGGAACAATATCAAACGCTTTGCTAAAGTCAAGGTACACAACGTCACAAACCTACGGCCTCATACATGCTAGAATAGAATGAGAGCAAATTTATCAAACATTAGAGCCCCTTAAAATAGCCTCAAATGTTGTTGTGAATAATTTATTTTTACCAAAAAGATAAAAGTGCAAGATTACTTACTGTAAGTTCCGTAGCAGCTGAAAATGTCTCTTGATATATTCGTCCCAAGGACATCAACGCTGCTACTCGAATCAGTTGATTGTGTATCGCCTTCGAAATTAACCGACATATCCATGTCTACGGGATCCATCGTATTCTTGTTAGTCTTTATATCCAGGTCTCCGTGACCCACTGTGTCCTCGTCAGTCTTTGCGGCGAGGGCGGGGACGGGAGCAAGCATACTCTGGTGAATCTCCTGGAGATAATCTATTGTTATATTCAGGTGGTCTGAATCATCCAGGTCTCCCTGATACACGTCAGTCTTCGCGGCGAGAGCAGGGACCTCATCGTAGGTCGATGTAGATACTCCGGAGATTCTTGTCAAAGCTGTAGTCCATTGCAGACCTTCAGGCTTTATGTTCTGGACATTTCGAGGTGTGACTGATTGTTCTTTAATCTGTTGCTCGATGTGTTGATGACTTTGTTGCTCGACTGCTTGCTGCTGCTGACGTTGTGGGGGCTGAGCACCTTGGTGCCCATGAGACACTGTAAGGGGTCCTTCCCCACGCCGAGTCAACGCTTCACTGCCGCCTGGCTGGACTGGGGAAACACCAGAGGCGTCGACCGTCAGGCTGACTACACAGTTGACTTGAAGAGATTTGTCCTCGCCGACAGTCGTCACATCTATCACAAGGAAAGAAAATTATTTTTCAGTTATATTATAATAAATAATAGTTCCCCAGTTACATTGAGGAAGTCATCTGTATTGTTCCAGGGGCATTGGAGTGTAAAAAGAGACTTTGAACTAGGTACCCTGATGGGAGGTGGCACATCTAAGAAGACCGATGTAATAACATCCCAGATGTAAAAATCTGAAATACGACAACATAACAACCCTTCAACTAACCTACCCCAACGAAACCTACTCAACACCCCCAACAACACCTACCCCAACCTAACCTTACACACATTAACCCCATGTTAATTAATGTATTTACCCTAACTTATCTGAATTATGACCTATTAGAGCATATTACTCACAATCTTAGTCTAAACATAAAAGTAATATTGAGATTACTTACTGTAAGTTCCGTTGCTGCCGAAAATGCCTCTTGATATATTCGTCCCAAGGACATCAACGCTGCTACTCGAATCAGTTGATTGTGTATCGCCTTCGAAATTAACCGACATATCCATGTCTACGGGATCCATCGTATTCTTGTTAGTCTTTATATCCAGGTCTCCGTGACCCACTGTGTCCTCGTCAGTCTTTGCGGCGAGGGCGGGGACGGGAGCAAGCATACTCTGGTGAATCTCCTGGAGATAATCTATTGTTATATTCAGGTGGTCTGAATCATCCAGGTCTCCCTGATACACGTCAGTCTTCGCGGCGAGAGCAGGGACCTCATCGTAGGTCGATGTAGATACTCCGGAGATTCTTGTCAAAGCTGTAGTCCATTGTGCCTATGTAAAGACGAATTCTTTATTTATTATTCTCTGATATTGCAGTTTAATACAAGCGCTGATAGGAAAGTGTGAACCAAATGTAGCTCGGGCATGTGTGGTCTGTAAGTGATTGATGAAGATTAAGCCACCCAAAAGGTGGCACGGGCATGAATAGCCCGTAGGTGGTGGCCCTTTTGAGCCATTTCCAGTATCAATAGATGATACTGGAGATCTGTGGAGGTACGACTGCACCCTGCGTGACGGGAGATGTCTCCCGTGGTGATGAGTTGTTGTTATAGATTCAGCTACTCGGAACAAGTTCCTAGTAGCACGGTCTATGGTGAGCTGGTGGTGGACTTACCTGGCACAGGAGCGGTGCTCTGGTCTGTATGCGAGTTTACACCACTTATATTTACGACACTGCATCTGACCTCCACATAATATGACGCTTCAGTCATGTCACCCTTTCATCTCTTCCATCAATCATTTAGAACATAAGAATGAAGGTAACTGCAGAAGGCCTATTGGCCCATACGAGGCAGCTCCTATTTATATCTACCCCAATCTCATTCACATATTTGTTTATATCCAGCGAATCTCATTCTTATGTCTAACATGCGCTTGAAACAATCAAGGAATCCTACTTCTATTATGTTACACAGTAATTGGTTCCACAAATGAACAACGTTATTACTGATCCAGTATTTACCCAGGTCTTTCCTAGAATTAAACTTATCCATTTTATACCTATTGTTTCGTGTTCTGTCTTGAGTTGATATTATTAGGGTATTAAAAGTATCTTCTTTATTATGTCCATTCATGTACAAGTATATACATGCATTAGTACAAGTACATATATGCTTCTATATAATATAGAAGTACATATGTACTTGTACATATAATAATATGTACAAGTACATATTATATTTGGGTTTAAACTGTTAGTAGAAGTTGTATGGTAATTGTTATTGAGAAAGGAGGTAATAAAAGTATATGTTTGTGGGGGAAACGAATTGACAAAATGATCAGGGAAAGAGAAGAACATAAGAAAATAAAAACAAGTTAATTGCAGAATGCCTATTAGCCCATACGAGGCAGCTCCTATTTATAACCATCCAATCCCACTCACATACATGTCCAACCCATGTTTGAAACAATCTAGACCCCACCTCCACATACATTAATTAGCACGTGGATAATTAAAGCTAATTAAAATAGAAAATAACTAATATAAACACCGCTGTTAAACTTACCTCAAGTGATCAAACGAAGTGAACTTGATAATTAGCACGTGGATAATCAACGCTAATACAACATTTATAATAATTACACACTTACAAAAAATGTATATAAAACACAAGCAATATAGAAAGCAATTGTAAAATACTAGACAAAACCTTATGAAAAACATAAATATCAAACAAAACTAAACACCAAAAATGAATTGTAAGTCTTAATTAAACACCTATAACAATATACAATATCAACACTTGAAATAAGTAAAGAGACAAATCATGGTAGACTAAAACAAAAATGTAAAATTTAAAAATTTCCAGCATGAATTATAAATCAAAATACAAGGCATTACTACTGTGCATTATACAGTGTACAATTGAACAGCCGAAAAGTTTTTATTTAGCAAAGGCCGCAGCTCCCTGATATATAAGGATTCCATTATTCGCAAATCCGACTGGCCATTCTTACACGTGTCTAGAATTTTAAAATCGGATTCCAGCCAAGAATGATTCAACTCGTGACAATGATTTCTAATCTCCGAGAATGCTGGTTTGGATAATAGTAATCCAGTCCTGAATAATACTCCCCGGTGCTCAAGTATCCTAATCCTAAAGTTCCGAATGGAACTGCCAATGTATCCAGGATTACAGCTGGATACATGGATACACATATATCCACATATACGCTGGATACATATATACGATACTAAAGCGCAGGAAGTTAGGCACTTAATTTTTAAATTTAAAATAGGAGCCTATGGTATTGACTAGTGTGTGGTCTGGTCAACAATCTAAAGTCTACTTGAAGATAAGAGTGCTGTAAGAATTTCTCAATCGACGTCTTACTGAAAAACTAAGTGTCGTAAAAGGGTAATTTGATATATTTAATATCCCTTTCTACTGTAGTAATCGTACAAGAAGGGTGTAACTTCTAATTTAAGAAATTCCATATAAAAGTATATACCATATGCGCAGTATAACCATTATTTGAAAAAAATTACAAGGAAATTAATTTCTTGATCAAAGTTAGACCAATTTATATAGATTTCGATTAATTTTCATTTTGGTTTAATTATTTTGTGTGACACAGCGTTGGAAATGAGCTGTGTTGTTTACCATGCCGTTCATTTCGTGAGTATAGTCTATTTTTTTATTTTTTCATTGTTTTTCATTTCGTTTTTTTAATTGTTCTTATTTTTCAGTGATGGGAACATCATATCATGATGTTCCTATTTTTACTGATGGGAACACCAGACCATTTGGGAACACATCGGACGAGGAAGTGGGGAATGGTAGGGAGGACGAGGGGACAGAGGAGTGGGATGGTGGGGGAGGACGAGGGGACGGGAGTGGGGGGATGATGAAGAGGACAAGGGGACAGGGGAGGGGGTAATGGTGGGGAGGGTGATGGAACAGGGAAGTGGGGGATGGTGGAGATGATGTGGGAATGGGGAAGTGGAGAATGGTAGGAGGACAAGGGGGACAGGGGAGTAATAGTGGGGAGTATGAGGGGAGGGGGAAGGTGGAGCGGACAGGGGATGGTGGGGAGGACGAGGGGATGGGGGGAGGCCAAGGGGAGGGGGGATAGGGAATGGTTGCTGTGGCTCAGCAACATGCATGCGTTGCTGAGCCACATCAACGTGTGGCCACAAGGAACGGACGCTGAGAGGAGGCTCTGCCAGCCACTCTGCCATTATCTAGCGACATCCTGACCCCACCGGGCCTGGACCCAATAGTTTGCAGTGTGAACATCCAGGGAAGGTGTGAGAGTGGCGGGAAGTGTCCAGGGAGAACCATCGCAACCAAAAGCAATCCAACAAGTGGATTGACAGTGTGGAATCATGTGAACTGCACTATCGGTACCTTGGCGTCACTGTCGGCTCTAACAAGGGGAAGAAAGAGGAGTTCAATCAACTCATAGGAACATGCAAAAGTTGACCCAGGGCACTGAAAGCCCTGGAATGGACATGGAGCCTCTATTGCTGCGCTTAAAATGATGAACACGTTCCGTCATAGACAATGCCGCACCAGTTTTGTGCACCTACTCCCAAAGCGATATGAAAAGGCTCTAAAGCATTCAAAAGGAAGCCAAGACAATCATTCTTGGAGTTCCAAGAACTGCCAAAACGTCTAATCTACGAGAGCTGTCCCTCGCCAGTGTTAAAAGCAGAATTATGGAACTGAATGCTAAGTTTGCAATTAGGAAAGCCAGAGCTCCTCATTACAATGATATTTCTAAGAAAAAACTGCGTTCGTACAGAACGCTATTGTGATTTCTGTGTTTATAGATGGAAAATTCCTTGTTGTTCTCATTACATCGTTCTGATAACAAGCTGAATTTCCAGGGCCACATACAAAACATAGCAAAAAAAAAGTTTCTAAAACAGTTAATGCTTTTTTTAAATCAGATACCATGTACTGCCCTGGTAATGTCTGCCTGCCTGCCTTGGTTACCTATCATCTATCCTTTTCTCAATTATGGTGTCTGTGCTAGGGGGTTCTACTACTCAAAATATTCTATATCCTCTAATTACTCAACACTCGCCTGGCGTTCCGCGAGCGCTATGTCATGGGTTCGTATCCTGGCCGGGGAGGATTTTCTGGGCGCAATTCCTTAACTGTAGCCTCTGTTTAACGCAACAGTAAAATGTGTACTTGGATGAAAAAACGATTCTTCGCGGCAGGGGATCGTATTCCAGGGACCATAGGATTAAGGACTTGGCCGAAACGCTACGCGTACTAGTGGCTGTACAAGAATGTAACAACTCTTGTATATATCTCAAAAAAAAAACACAAATCTGCTATTAGAAGAAACAAATTTAATACTTTTTAATTGACAGCACAGTCAATTTATTTATATTTATTTAATTAATTAACAGAAAATGATAAGTTAACAGAACTGGCCAATTTATACATACTATAAAGACCCTTCCTGCCAGCCTCTTTGTATTTGCTGTTGAATTATGTTTGTAGCCTCATCAATTTTTTATTTGGTCAATGTGTAGGTCCAGTCAGCAATGTTAACTGGGCTATAATTATCACATCACTTGCATCTGGTGTAGTTAAATGCACAAAGGAGTGTGCAGGTCCACATTGGTGAAAGAAACACATTTATTTTATTGTTTCATGGCTTTAATTATGGCTTCATGTAACACTCACAATCTCATAGTGCAACAAATAAAATTCATGGTACAAACATTAAAAAACATTCATAGTACACAATCATCATATGGTGTAAAGTCATAAGACTCTGAGAAAACAGTGGTTCCTTTTGCGTGTATTTATAAGCAAGTGATGAGTCATAATAACGTGGCTTAAGTATGTTGACCAGACCACACACTAAAAGGTGAAGGATCTGTTTCCGTCCTGGACCATTCTCAAGTCGATTGAGATGAATGGGTCAGCAGATGAAATAAAAATTATGGGTCAACGAAACTTGTTGTCTTGTTTAGATTTTCTGTTAAAATTAACCTTAGCGAGAGGCAAACAAAATATTATGTGGCCGAGATGTCGATCGAGCTTGGAACGTCCTTTTGCATCGATGCCTTATGACCAAGTATATGTTTGTCAAGATTGCGTGTCTGGCTGTATGAACAATCGCACTTTGAACACTTGTATTTTCGGTTAGCACCATGGGCTTTCATGTGGTTCGTAAGAAATGCTAGTTTTGAATATATAACACCACACAAGTAACAGGGAAAACATGTGTTAAAATGACCTTGACGTATATCTTTCCGAGGAGCAAATGAAGCCTTGTATTGACTTGTATTTACCGAGGTTCTTGGCTGAACAGAAGCAGAGGTGCTCGGCAAATCTTGCTGTTGTGAGAGAATAATCTTATTGGAGGGCATCGATGCCTTATGAGCAAGTAAATGTTTGTCAAGGCTGCGTGCCTGCGTGTAAGAACAATTACAATTACACATGGAACACTTGTATCTTTGGTTCGCACCATGGGCTTTCTTATGATTCTTAAGAAATGCGTTGCTTGAGAAAGTTATACCACACAACGAACACTTTTGCTTACAACCAGCTTTCATATGTTTCATAAGTAATGTTTTCCGTGAAAAAGAAATACTACACAAGAAACACTTGTGTTTTTGGTCAAAACCATGGACTTTCATATGTTTCGTAAGAAATGCTTTCCGTGAAAAACTAAGACTACACAAAGAACAGGTGACCTTGAGATACGGGTTAAAGCGACTATGAGGTGTATCATTCGAAGGCTGAGCAAGTGAAGTGTCACTTGCATTTACAGAGATGCTAAGCTGGGTATCTATCGACAGCTGAGGAGATTTTTCATTATGTTGCAGACCTTCAGGCTTTATGTTCTGGACATTTCGAGGTGTGACTGATTGTTCTTTAATCTGTTGCTCGATGTGTTGATGACTTTGTTGCTCGACTGCTTGCTGCTGCTGACGTTGTGGGGGCTGAGCACCTTGGTGCCCATGAGACACTGTAAGGGGTCCTTCCCCACGCCGAGTCAACGCTTCACTGCCGCCTGGCTGGACTGGGGAAACACCAGAGGCGTCGACCGTCAGGCTGACTACACAGTTGACTTGAAGAGATTTGTCCTCGCCGACAGTCGTCACATCTATCACAAGGAAAGAAAATTATTTTTCAGTTATATTATAATAAATAATAGTTCCCCAGTTACATTGAGGAAGTCATCTGTATTGTTCCAGGGGCATTGGAGTGTAAAAAGAGACTTTGAACTAGGTACCCTGATGGGAGGTGGCACATCTAAGAAGACCGATGTAATAACATCCCAGATGTAAAAATCTGAAATACGACAACATAACAACCCTTCAACTAACCTACCCCAACGAAACCTACTCAACACCCCCAACAACACCTACCCCAACCTAACCTTACACACATTAACCCCATGTTAATTAATGTATTTACCCTAACTTATCTGAATTATGACCTATTAGAGCATATTTACTCACAATCTTAGTCTAAACATAAAAGTAATATTGAGATTACTTACTGTAAGTTCCGTTGCTGCCGAAAATGCCTCTTGATATATTCGTCCCAAAGACATCAACGCTGCTACTCGAATCAGTTGATTGTGTATCGCCTTCGAAATTAACTGACATATCCATGTCTACGGGATCCATCGTATTCTTGTTAGTCTTTATAACCAGGTCTCCCTGATACACGTCAGTGTTCACGGCGAGAGCAGGGACCTCATCGTAGGTCGATGGAGACATACTCCGGAGATTCCTGTCCATTGTGCCTATATAAAGACCTTATATCCTTATATACTCTGATATTGCTGTTTAATACAAGCTGATAGGAAAGTGTGAACCAAATGTAGCTTGTTCAAGTGAGGTCTATAAGTGAGCTTACACCGCTTATATATGCTACACTGCATCTGACTTCCACATAATATGACGCTTTAGTCATGTCACCCTTTCACCTCTTCCATCAATCATTTAGAACATAAGAATGAAGGTAAATACAGAAGGCCTATTGGCCCATACGAGGATATATTTATATCCACCCAATCTCATTCACATATATGTTTATATCCACCCAATCTCATTCACATATATGTTTATATCCACCCAATCTCATTCACATATATGTTTATATCTACCCAATCTCATTCATATATGTTTATATTCACCCAATCTCATTCATATATATGTTTATATTCACCCAATCTCATTCATATACATGTTTATATCCACCCAATCTCATTCATATATATGTCTACCATATGCTTGAAACAATCAAGGGATCCTACTTCTATTATGTTACACGGTAATTGGTTCCACAAATCAACAACTCTATCACTGACCCAGTATTTTTCCGGGTCTTTACTAGATCTAAACATATCCAATTTATACCCATTGTTTCGTGTTCTGTCTTGTGTTGATATTTTTAATACCCTAATAATATCTTGTTTATTATGTCCATTCATACGTTGTTGTTGTTGTTAAAGATTTAGCTACTCAGGACGAAGTGTCCATGTAGCACGGGCTATGGTGAGCCCGTAATTGAGTTTCGTTATACATAAGAACAAAAGAACAAAGGCAACTGGCACAACTTTCATAAGGCACATCAGACACTTGGATTTATTAATCGCAGCGTTAGTAACAAGACACCTGGTGTGGTTCTCAAGCTATATCTTGCTCTAGTTAGGCCCCATTTAGATTATGCAGTTCAGTTTTGGTCGCCATATTATAGAATGGATATAAATTCACTTGAACGTGTCCAGCGTAGGATGACTAAGTTAATTCCCCAAATTAGAAATCTCTCGTATGAAGAAAGATTAACAAAGCTTAAGTTGCATTCACTGGAAAGGCGAAGAGTTAAGGGTGACATGATAGAGGTTTACAAGTGGGTGAATGGACATAACAAAGGGGATATTAATAGGGTATTAAAAGTATCAACACAAGACAGAACACGAAACAATGGGTATAAATTGGATAAGTTTAGATTTAGGAAAGACTTGGGTAAATACTGGTTCAGTAACAGGGTTGTTGATTTGTGGAACCAATTGCCGAGTAACATTGTGGAGGTGGGGTCCCTCGATTGTTTCAAGCATGGGTTGGACATGTATATGAGTGGGATTGGGTGGTTATAAATAGGAGCTGCCTCGTATGGGCCAATAGGCCTTCTGCAGTTGCCTTTGTTCTTATGTTCTTAACTGCAGAAGGCCTATTGGCCCATACATAAAAGCTTTGCTAAAGTCAAGGTACACAACATCACAATCCTTACCATTTTCAACTGCCTCAACTATGCTGGAATAAAAAGTTAGCAAATTTGTTAAACATGAACGGCCATTTGTAAAACCATGTTGCGACTCATTTCTTTGTTTGTTGCGACTCATTTCTTTGTTTGTTGCGACAAACATTTCTAACCAGTTGTACGAATTCCTGTTCTAAAGTGACCTCCCCATTTTTAATCCTTTTGTACCAAGCTCTCTTTTTACCTATAAGGTTCTTCAAATTCTTTGTTATCCACTTTGGGTCATTAGTATTCGATCTATTCAATTTGTATGGTATACTACGTTCCTGTGCTTTGTTTAGAATATTCTTAAATAAGTTATATATTGAATCCACATCGAAATCCCCATTTACGTCACCTATCGCTGGGTTTATGTCTCGCTCCAAGACCGGCCCCAACCCCATACCCAAGACTTTCCAATCAATTTGACCCAAAAAATTTCTTAGGCTATTAAAATCAGCTTTTCGAAAATCTGGCACTTTAACAGAATTTTCTCCTACAGGTCTATTCCATTCTATGCTAAATCTGATTTCTTTGTGATCACTGTTCCCTAGCTCACTCCCTATTTCGATGTCATTAATTTGTGTTTCCCTGTTACTTAACACTAAATCTAAAATATTATTTTCCCGTGTTGGTTCCTTAATGTGTTGCGTAAGAAAGCAATCGTCAATTAATTCTAGAAAATCTTCTGCTTCACTATTCCCTGTTTTGTTCAACCAGTTTATTCCACTAAAATTAAAGTCACCCATGACGTAAATACTGTTAGATCTAGATGCCCTAGATATTTCATCCCATAGATGCTTTGCTTCCATTCTGTCTAAATTTGGTGGCCTATATATAACTCCTATTATAATATTATTTGCGTTTTCGTATAATTCTATCCAAATAGTTTCTGTGTGTGGCTCAGTTTTGATTCCCTCTTTGAGACTACATTTCAAATTGTCCCTAACATATATGGCTACTCCCCCTCCTCGTCTAATATATCTATCTGTGTGAAATAGTTTAAATCCATTTATTTGATATTCAGCTAATAGTTCTCTATTTTCTACATTCATCCACGTTTCGATAAGTGCAATAATATTTATTTTTTCTCTGCAGACAAGAGCATTTAATTCGTTAATTTTATTTCTTAGACTTCTACTGTTAGTGTAATATACCCTAAGTGAATTGTTATTTTGAGGCCCTTCTCTTTCCCTGAGAAGCATAGGCAGTGACTTTGCCATTGTAGTTTTCAAGCTTTGGGAACTGTTTTTTAAATTTCTCATAGTGACATTCAGCAATGGTGTCAATGTTTGAGCCAGTGTCAATGAGAACTTTGAGACAAATACCAGCAATGTATACACATGTCTCTGGGTTGTTTGGAAGATCATTCCATTCTTTGATTGCTTGTACTCCATAAGTATAATCACATTCACTGTCATCTGAGACTGGTTGTAATGAAATGTTGTCTTGTACATTATTAACATTCTGGATATGAGGTGCAATATTGTGTTTATCACCTCGACCCCTATGAACTGATCCTCGTACAGTGCTTTTATTCACTAACTGGTTTCTTGAGTGCGGAACGACACATAGCACCAAAATGACCTAGTTTTCCACACTCATAGCACTTCTTACCTTGAGCAGGACAAACATTATCTTGGTGTGGGTAGTCTCCTCCACAATTGTTACATTTATTGTTGACACCCTCTGATGTGAGTTGTTGTGACTGCTTGAGTCTTGTTTCTTGACCCCATTGGTGATGTGGTTCTCGGTTCAAATTGTTGTTGGGTTTGCCATGATATCTTCTTTGATTACGGTGTCCTGCCTGAACCTACATACCTCATCACTGTTAGTAACAGTGGCAGAACTGTTGTTGGCATTGCACTCCATGACACGAGCATCACGTGCAGCATCTTCCATTCGACGAGCCATATCCAGTATCTTGGTAAGAGAACTTTCATCATCAACAAGTTCTAGAGCTCTTCGACGGAGAAGTGTAGATGTGCATGTTTCAATTATTTGCTGTTTGATTTCCTTGTCAACATCAGCAAACTCACAATGGGCTGCTAAACCCTGCAGACGTGTGTGGTATTGATCAACGGTTTCATTAGAGAGTTGTCTGGCTCTCCTGAAATGCATAATTTCCATTGCAGTATTTTGCCTTGGTTTGAAGTGCTCAGTTAATTTGGCTTTGGCAATGTCATAATCTTTGGCACCACCAGTGTCTTTTAGTGTGTCAAAGATGTCACAAACTCTATCACCTGCATAATGAAGTAGAAAGGCACGCTTTCTTTCAGCACTTTTGACGTCAGAAACTATCAACAAATTTTCAAACCTTTTAAGCCATTTGACCCACCTCTGTGACAGGTTTGTCTGGTCACAGTCAGGATCAAATGCAGGAAACTGAGGTATATTTGCCATTTGTACTAAATAAATGTAAACTTATCACTTAAATGTTCCTCAGAATATTAAACACTTACTGCACTGTATATGTTAGTTAAGAATTCACTGTAATTACTTTAATTCTGCAAAGCACACTAGCATTTTAATGCAAAAGTTCACAACAGTGCACAATACAGCAGCAACTGACTTCTTACCTAGCCTTTGTGTACATGTGTTGTTCCTACTCACAGCAACACAGCAGTAGTAAGCAGTTGGCACAGCAGTTGGTACAGCAGTTGGCACAGCAGTCAGTTCACAGCGTGAAGAATTGTAGCACAGAGCGCGTTTCGTATACAAAACATATATACAGCACCATATTTATATATACAGCATCATATTTATATATACAGCATCATATTTATATATACAGCATCATATTTATATATACAGCATCATATTTATATATACAGCATCATATTCAGGTTTTATATGCATATATACATATATACAGCATCATGTATATATGATGCATATATACAGCATCATATTCAGGTTTTATATACAGCATCAAAGCGTCGTTTCGTACACAGCGTCGGCAGATTCCTCAGTACATAGCTTCAGCCAGCACAGCTTGGGTAGCACACAGCATTGGTTGTCAATGACTGGGCAAGTACAACTCAAACTGAACTTGCAGGCATATACCTTGCCACTGAATTTTTAAAAGACAAAGGCAGTGGACTTATATACTGTGACTCGCAGAGTGCACTCCTGGCATTGAACGCACATAGTAGTGACACCCAGAAAATTGTCAGTGATATTCGAATGAATGTTTTAGCTGCTAAAGAAAACAGATTTGAGATTAAATTCCTATGGATACCATCACATGTTGGCATCTCAAGGCATGACACTGTTGATATGCTTGCTAAGACAGCCTGCAGAAAACCAGTGGTAGAAATTGATATGGGTGTTTCATTAGCAAACTCACAAAGAGAATACTTAAACAAATATCTAATGAAGATCTCACTGAGCTAACAAATTCACAAAGACCTGAAAGTTGTAGCATTAAATATTATGATAGATATCGTGAGGAGACATTCACATATGGGACTAATAGAACAAGAACCCGGCAATG